GGTCCCCTCACCCCCCTTAAGAACATCAGCAGACTCTGCTCAATGCCGATCGGGGGATCCAGTGGTCTATCATCTCTAGGTGGTGGTCCCCTCCCCCCCCTTACGAACATCAGCAGACTTCGGGGGATCCAGTGGGTTCAATCCCTGTGCCAAGCATGCCCCAAGTGGGTTCAATCCCTGTGCCAAGCATGCCCCACGAAGGTATATGAGGAGGCGAATGGGGATTGAACCCACGCCCTCCTGAATGCCACTTGCGAGCCTTACCAACTGAGTTAGGCCGCTGCATTTCAGCAACTATTCATTTCGCCCCCCACGTGCAGTATCTGTTCTGACGAGTTTGATATCTGTGAATTCAAAAAAAAAAAAAAAAAAAAAAAAAAAAAACCCGGAAAAAAAAAGAAAGAAAGGAAAGGGCAGCGTATTCATAACCACAGAGCATCGTCTGCAGTCTACTCTTCGAAGTACTGCTCCTACTGTAAATCCCTGAAATAGGGATGGCCATGTTGAGATGCGTATCTCATCTATTGTAGGTATGCCTGAAATCTTGCCTAATTGGAAAAACGTTGTTCCACCTTCCACCTCTACTTCTATGGCATGCATTAGGAAAACACTGAGAGAAAAAAAAAAAAAAGACAGACTGCCTGGGGATGTTGTAGTTGGACATCAGTCTGCTTACGCACCTGCAGTCTGCTCACCCGATGATATCTCAGGAAAACACTGAAAGACGGACTCGACAGTGTGCTAACCCGATGATATCTCACATTACTTTGGATGATTGGATCCACAAGAAGTTGAATGGATTGGTGGTAGCACGGATTGACCACAACTCTGATGGATTGGCTGCATGAGTATTTATCACCAAGCACTGGGAGCTCTGTACTGGAAAAACTCTGGGTGTCAGATGGTCCCAATGAGTGAGGATGAAGTGCTAAGCAACTGCAGATCTGAATTGGCACCATAGATGGTCCCAAAAGCTCCCAAAGGGCGTCAGATGGTCCCAAAGGGTGTCAGAAGGGCCCAAGGGGTCCCTATCTGAATTGGATAAATTTCAGGGCAATAGAATCGGTCGCTGAGTGTTGCATACTGTAACGTGCAGACCAGAACAAGAACCGACCTTTCAATACAAAGTATAAGATAGCACAACGGAAGACTTAGATACCAGTGATCCGAACAATCAATGTTGMAATGCAGCCCTGAACATACATCATCATCATCGTTACATGGTGTGAAATGGGCCTGGCGCTTCACACAGGAAGACTGCGCCAGCCCATACCATACACAGACGAAGAGGAAGGGGATAGACGAAGAGGGGGAAGATGGGAATGTCGTCAACACCAAGTCTTCGGCACAAGCCCAAATAGTCCCTCGTCGAAATGTCTGAATCCCAAATGTCAAGTGTGGATCCAATGTCGTCAAGTCTCAAGTCACAACTCTGTCTCTCTCTGTCGTAGTCTGAGAAGTCCGGTGGCGAGAGGGTGAGAAGAGAAGGTGGACTTAGAAGAGGAAGAAGAAGAACTCTCTCTCTCTCGGTGCCCAATACTTACCTGTGAAGTTGGCCCCCTTTGCAGGTACCACGAAGATGGAGCTGGAGCGATGGCGCCACAGGCAAGTAACACTGGCCTCCGCCAGTCTCTCTCCCACTTTACGATCTACCACCTACCAGCGCCCAGCGCTGAAGACTACAGCTACAGCTATGGCGCCCAGCGCCGAAGACTACAGCTAGCGCTACCACTACTAGCGCTGAAGACTACTGCAGCGCTCCTCCTGAGTGCTGCGGCCGAATCCTGAAGACTACTCGTGCCTACTGACCACTACCTACCCGTGAAGTGCATGGGAACTTCCTATGTACTACAGGTGTGCCTCCTGAGCCTGCCGAAGGGAGGCAGAGGCTGCAGCTGCAGCTCCTGCTCAACCTCGTGAGGAACAGGCTATTTCTGGCCTGTTCCGCATCCCTGTTTACGTGCCTGAGTCTTAGGGGCAGGTCGAAACAATGAGGGCCTGAAAATGGCCCTCCGTTTAAGGCTGAAAACTGTGGGTCTGAAAAGACCCAGAAATAGGCTGAAACGGGGTAGGGCCTGCAGGCCCTCGTTTTTCAGCATCCAGGCTGAAACGAACGGGGCCTGTAAGCCCTAAGAATTAGGGTTTTAGGCTGAATGTCCGGGACGGGCCCTGCAGGGCCCGTGTGGCTACGCAGTGTGCCACACCCCCCCCTCCTTGAAGAACCGAGCTTACCTGCGAGGGCGAAGCTGTCTGTCTGAGGGAGGGACCACAGTCCGGGTGGGAGGGGCTGGTCATAACCTCCGCTTTTCATAATGCGCGTAGATCAGCGGTGCGGATGCTTTCAAATCTGCGCCTGAAATCCACCGAGTGTCGTCGCGACCGCATGCTTTGAATGTGACTTTGTATTGCCGCGGCTTGCTGCCGTACTTGCGATTTGAGATGATGCGGTCAACTTCCTGATGGCCATCCATAGGAGGGTCCTGCGATCGTCGGTCCGGAAAGTCGTCGCTCTTGGCTGGCGTGTATGTTGCCAGCTTCGAGGTGTGGAAGACCGGATGGACCGTCAGATGCTCTGGAATGTTGATCACAAATGAAGGGCCATCGGGCTCATCGCCCGCGGCTGCTGTCACAGACCAAGGTCCAAACCACTTGGGAAGCAGTTTGCGTGAAACATCCTGTTCCAGTGCAAACTCTTCCGCGGAGACCCAAACCAGATCACCGGCGCGGATGGGACATGGTACGCGACTTCTGTTGGCTTGCTGCTGCATGCGGACTTGAGCCTTTTGCATATTTGCGCGGGCTTGAGTCAGCAATTCCCTGTACTTCCGGACGGAAGCGGGAGAGAAGGCAGCGTCAATGTCGGTTGGTCGAGGGAGGAGAAGGTCGGCGAAGATCCGGCCTTTCCGTCCACCGTGGTGCAACTCGAATGGAGTCACGCGGATCGCCGGATGCACCGAAGTGTTGTAGGCGAACTCGATGTCGGGGAGGCGGTCAACCCAATCTTTCAGGTCCGGACGGATGAGCGTACAAAGCATAATTTGAGCGGTTTGATATGCCCGCTCCGTCTACCCGTCTGTCTGAGGATGTCGAGCCGAACTTGGTTTCATTGTTGTGTCGGACTCCTGCATGAGAGCAGTCCAAAACGCGGACATGAAACGAATGTTGCGGTCGCTGACAATGTCTTCTGGTACACCGTGGCCACAAATCCAACCAGTGTGCAGGAGGCGTGCCAGCTCGGGAGCCGTGGAGTAGTACTTGCAAGGGAGAAAACGCGCGTACTTACTCAATCRGTCCACAACCGTGAGGATGCCATCGTGCCCGAGCCGGTCGCGAGGAAAAGGACCGGTGACGTCCATGGCAATGGAGAGACCGGGTTCCCGTGGGATAGGCATCGGGTGTAACTCGCCGTAGGGATTGCGGTTGCGGGGCTTGCTGCG